ATGCCATATTTTCCGACCTCCCAAAAGCATTTGATCGGGTCCCACACGTCCCGCCGCTCCACAATCTCGAGTCTTACGGGATTCAACAAAACATCCTACACTAGATCAAGGCGTTCCTATTAGACAAACCATTCTGAGTGTAAGTAGACTCAATCCGCTCTTCTCTAGCGCCGGTCTTCATTGGAGCTCGTCAGGACCCCATTCCAGGACCACTGCTGTTTCTAATATACATCAACGACTTTCCAGATGTTCTTCAAAGTCCATGTCTACTTTTTGTGGATGATTTGAAATATCAGGGGTCTAATGGCGGTGCCCTCCAAATGGATGTAGGCGCCGCAAAGCAGTTGTCGTTGGACTGGCGCTTTCCTCTGAATGACGTAAAGTGCGTCCGCATGTCATTTGGAGGGGACTCGGTGAATGCCTTTGTCATGCATGGTGAGAAAGGATCAGAAGGCACCACGAGGATGGATGCCGAAAGGGATTTGGGTAGCTGGCTCTCCAAAGAATAAATTCTGACCATGGGCTATGGCGCCTAGTTCATCGTTGATGTACATTATGAATAGGGTTGGAATAGTACGCTTCCTTGATTGGTAGTGGTGTTGTTTGTTCATTCGTGTTTTTTTATATGCCAGACCACTGAAACGAGGTTTTAAGTGATGTAAGTGGTTCTAATTCTTTATGTAGCATGGATGCATGAAGAGCATGGTCAAAAGCTTTTTGAATATCAGTGTGAACGTTTATCGCCGTAGGCTGCTGCAAATCGTTGAGTTGGGAGTCCATATTTTCGGACATCTTTGGAATTGGAAGCCATGAGTTATTTGGTTATTGTACCCTTGGAAGTAGTTTGTCTCGGTCCGGATTCAAAATGCAGGCGGATTATAGGTTGCTCGCACTGGAATAGGACGTTTCCATAGTTCATATAGTGGATAAAATGATTTAATAAAAGGATTTCAATGTCTTCACCGCCTTGTCACCGAATACGGGGTGAAAGGCCACCGGTCCCTTGCGCAGCGGCCCCTAAACTTTAGAAGGAACAAACATCAGCGAAGGAGATGGTTCCCTTACCGATAGTCGGGCGGCTACCCTTACCGTCAAGAGTTTGGGGATATGCGGCAGGTGGAACATGCTTGGGATTTGGAGGAATGAGTAAGTAGCAGTTGGTGGAATAAGCTTTCAGATGGTCTGCGAAATTGACAGGATCAGTGTGAAACGCAAACAGCTAATTGAGTAGCTCTCTTTAGATACAACGTCCACGGAGTAATCGGCTGAGTTGTTTGAGGTTTGAAGGAGCTCCAAGGACGGTGTTCTGTCCATGGCGCTCGAGATGAATACTTACAAATGGAGGCCACATGTTGATGGCGAAGCAGATTTATTCATGTGGAGTACGACCGCAAAAGCCTCTGAATCTCTGTGACGAACCTCTGCGCACCACAAGAGGCTAGTGTCCATTCCGAGAACGGCGACCTTCATGTCTGCTGGTGATACAGCACCCGCAACTGCCCTCAACGCACCCTAAGTCTGACGTACATTGCTGGGGAGGTGAGCGATATAGCATAGGTGACGTGATATTATTGGGAAGTACCCACCGGTGAGCTAGAGTGATGGATAAATTAGGGGCTTGTGATAACTGAAAGCGACGGCATCACAGCATTCATGCTGGTGGCCGATTTGCTTAATGCCAATAGGAACAGTTACCGTTTCGAAGCCGGAGTTATTGTGCCTCGTACAAGCTGGCAATGACCGCCATGGAATATCCCAGTCGATTTCGTTTACCGGGACGTTGCCAGCTGTCACCATGGGGGTTCATGCTGCGAACATTGGTTAGGCAGAAGTGTCGTGTTGTGCTGGGTAGATGGTACTTTGGAACGCTAATTCCGGTTCCACAAGCGTCACTCCAGACATTTTAGTGAACCGAAAACTCTTCTGATTTTTCAGCAAGGAAAGAAACGACGGTAATTGTTCATGAAACAATGTTGAAATTTTTCATTCCCAAGCGAAATTTGGTCGCGGTGGGCCCCACTATCATAAGTTTCCGGAAGCAGAAATTTTGGTATGCACGTACAGTGGTCTTGAAGGTGCGCAAATTGCCACACTGTCTCCGGTAGTCTGAGAATTTCATGTAGAGCTCGCGAGAAGTATGCATCAAAGGATCATCCGGCGGATGGAATATACGGGGTTTGTGCCCGGATTTGGCCTTGGTCATGCCAAGCCTGTTGAATGCAAGCTTGTCGGTCACTACTGAAATGTTAGGCCATTGTTCGGCATCAGATGACTCACGCCAGCGGTAAACGGTGGCAATTCATTTGTCGGTCAGATGAAGCCCCGAAACCTTCAAAGGCGATGCTCTAATTCTTCGCGAGTTAAGAGAGCAAAGAAGACAGACATAAGAGAGTTTCGTTCCTTTGCTCGCGATGGCAGACTACTTTGGTGGTGGATGAGCTGGCGTGTGGAAAAGAGGGTTAAAATCTTGAAGGAAATAAATGACTACGGTAGCAGGAATTGCACCAGCGACAGCAAAAATTCATGGAAACCCACGGTTGAGTCCCATGAAAAGAATAGTGATTGTTATTATGATGGTGTCTTGAGGGCTTTGAGTACAAAACAGCTGGTCTGCGGACCATTTGTACCAGGGCGGACGATACCGCTTTCGGCTGCTTTATTGACCAGCCAGGTCTGGGTTCCAACCCAGACAAGCAACTTTGTCGGCTACCGGCAGCGGCCATCGCAGAAGCGTGAGGCGTGGCAGTTTGACGTATGTCGAGATGCTGCTGTATGGTTGCCAACAAAATTTGGCTCGATACCAAACTTGTTCGTGGCATTCGTTCATGCGGAAGAAAGCTGGATTAGGAGATCTACTTCACAGAGGCCGCAGGAAATTGTAGAGTTTATGCCTATGTTCCATGGACCAAAAAACATTCATCTGCAAGGTCCCATTAATCTACATGACGTCTGAAAGCCGTCTGCCACTAAAGGCTAAAGATGTGATGAATGTGATGCGCTTCTCCTTTCCTAATATCAGCACACGTTCACACTCGCGGACTTCGGCCTGGAAGGCATATCGTCTTCCAAAATGAAATCAAACAATGAGACACTTCCCCAGAGCAACTTGGATTTCCCGCTGTTACTTCTTACATATCCAGGATAAAGAAGACTCTTCCTACCAGGTGTTACGCTTCGAATGAGAAGGGTTTTTCTTTCATCAAAACGTTGCACGCGTCCAACTCCTCTCGGTCATTCGCCGATGTGCACCATTTGGTCATGTAAAAAGGTGCCAGGTCAGGTTTGTGAGCGTGGTGGTAACAAAGAACAGCAAGACAATCTTTGTTGCCTCCCAGGCCGAAGTGGACTGGGCAAACGGTAATCCACATAATTCCGCCAGCAACATATGTGATACATCTAATAATGAGACAAACGAACATGACTGCTTTTTGCCAACCGCGTGCGTAAATACTGCACAACGGTCCATCATGTGACCGTGTGGTTAAAGCCAAATCCCAGAGCACAATAAATGCCCCGAAACACTTTTTAGGATGCTGAACTGACAACATTCTGGATCGACACATAAGCAATTTTAAAAGCAAATTGTTGCCCTAAAAATCATGTACAAGGGTCTAGGCACCCAAATCTCACCTATAAGCAAGCGGGCTATATATCATTTTGTTATGGGTAAATGGGCAACAAAGACTACGTTTATATTCAGACGCTTTTATACTAGACAGTCGGTTTGTGATAAAGTTGCGCATACCGTGTAATGGTCGGTACACTAGCCCATTGCCAACGAAAGCTTGAAGTGGCGACCATGTTACAACCCTAGAACAACACGGCCATACGAAACTAGTCATTTAATTCCACTGGAAAACCAACCTACGTCATAACACAGGCCACGTCAGATGGATATTCAGGTAGTTAGCTTTTGGGATTAGGGACTTGTCACAACCCTGTATTGGAGTTTTGAAGAAGGCTTCGTGCTAAGTAGCAATTAACGACGGGCATGGACAGATAAGAAGACAAGTTCGTCCCGGACAAGGGCTAAGCGACCGTGTAGTCCTCGAGTTGAACTGCAACAGAAACTTTGATACCTACCTGTGAATCCTAAGCTCACGAAACCCTAGTCATATGCCCATCGACGAATCGCTGTTTCTGACAATAAGGGTTTCGACTGACTGGCTACTTTTTGACTCTTCGTTTTCCAATCAAAGACCAACGTGCGAGGTTTTCAGGGTTGAAGGGCAAGAACCGCGATGTAACTATGTTCAGTCAGTCGCGCCCAGTCTTTCAGGTTGAATTTTACCCTGTTCAGTACTTAAATCATCGTAAATAATCATTGAACTGAAGGTCCCTTCTGCATCATTCTAAGCTTCGAACGATTAGCGGCGCAATTTTCAAAGATAGAAGTTTTTTCGGAATTATTCTACTTTGGCACACCTGCATTCTGATTGGGTAATTTTCCGGTATGCTTGTTTGCGCGACCGTCCGAAAATGCGCTGTCTGTCTGTCTCTCTGTCCGGATAACCAAATAAATCGTGGTTTCTGCATAGTTTCAGTTGGTAGAATGTTGATGACATCTCATAAGGTGTATTTATTTTTGGTTGTCGATTACGGTGGTAAAAAATCGGCGAAGAATCGGTGAAGAATAACAATTTCGTTTTTTAGTTTTTCAGATCTCGTTGTTATACTGCAGTACGTGTATCGAATGGTTAAACTACGTGTAGACTCGTTTGGACCCAATATCTACTACCGAGCACACGGACACACCGTGTAAAATTTTGCGTTAAGTCAATCGTCCCATTCCTGCATTTTCTTGCAGGAAGCTGGTGCTATGCTACGATTTGTGCACTAGAATATTGGCTTTGTAACTTCGATATGTGGATAAGTCACTAATAATGGTCATTTCTCTAGCTGGGCCTGGCAAGATCATGTTGGAACTATTATCGTCAACGTGTCGATTGACCAATGAGAATTCAGCGTTCACACCTTCGACGCATTCGTATTGCGGGCGGCGCCGCTTGCGCTATTTCTATAATGTCTGAAATTCTGGAGGAACTCGCTGCCCATGGATTTGAAATTGTCAAGGATGAGAGCGGTGAAACTTTGGTCAAATTGGTTTTCATGGATGAAAATGATGAGGCAACTGGATACGCACTAGTTAGCCCCGAAGATGCCAAAAGAATACTCTCCGGCCAAGCTACGTTGCAAAATGTGCTGGATGACGAGGGGAAACAAGTCCTAACATTGACTGCTGTTGAAGCTGAAGATCAGCCAAATCAGCAGGTCAGTTTGCGTATGTCCCTAAATATGTGAGAACGTGAAGATCTGGTGGCTGTTCATCTCATGGTTCTCAGGCGGGTCCTGATGGCATTTTACCGCAATACAGTATACACTAACTAATGTTCATAGGGTGCCTTTGTCAGCGCTGTTTAATTGGTTTTTCAACGAAAGGAAGCTGCCGGAGGACAAGGAAAATGTGACTGTGACACCGATGCACAAGAAAGGTGGCTGGTAAACTGCTTCAGGATTCAGACCTGTCAGTTTTGCATCACTCATGCTTGGGGTGACCCACTTAACCATCTACGAGTTAGTTGCATTCCAACTGGATGAAATTGTAGGAAAAAGCAGTGACTTCCCCTTTGATGCTTTGGAATAACCCCGAGATAGTATAGAGGTGAGGTTGAAGTGCGCTACGTAGATTATTGAAAACGCTCGCGCAAATATCGACTTCTGTTGGCCAAAGTGAAGAAATTTAAACTCATGTCAGGTGTTGGTGTGGTGGGAAGGTGATACCTCGTTGCAATGGAGGGTTTTAGCTCCCTGCTGGAAGTTTCCATCAGCGGTTTAGCGCAGGGGTCAATATCGGTTTCTCTACTGCTTCTGACCTGCCTATTAAATCTAATGAAGGATCTCTATTGTGGTTGATACATGTCGAGCGAATTGGGTGCATTCAGTGCTGGGCTAAAAACATCGCCTGGACTCCATTTGGTATACGGTTTATCCAGATCAGTTTCCACAACTCTGACTGACCTCTGGAAGACGTCTCTTCTCTGCTACACTGGAAATAGTATTGTTCCGACTCCCTCTCCTCCCGAACTTCCTCTTCCACTTTCACTTTTATTGAACCCTCTATTGCAGCCTGGAAATTTTGGGTCTTTTGTTCCACGGGTAGGGTTTCATTTTGGTGAAAAATAGTTTTGCGCAGTTCTGTGCTTGCAATTAGAATTCTTGTATGCGGTTGAACTTATCTGACCGTATCGCTGGTTAGGCTATTCCGATTGCAACAGGCAGTGCAATCACCAACAGTCTTAGCGGCTAGTGGAACAAGACTCACTACCAGCCTCTAATGCCTGTGGGGTTGAAGCGCTCCCTGGGCCTCCGCTCACAGACATCGAGTACGCAGACGACATAGCTCTTCTAGGATCTGACCCCGTGGCAATGCAAACAATACTAAATAGTCTAAATAATTCTCCCTCGCGGTTTGGTATGCGCTTCACACCTGCAAAGTGTAAAGTGCTACTGCAAGA